TGTCGGCGATGTTTATTCGTCGCAGGTCGACCCTAATTGCGTCTCGCCATCGTTTCCGCGGGCCACACGCTGGGTATGGCGGCAGCAATGTGCCAAACAACAACATCCGCGGAACACACACACACACACACACACACACACACACACACACACACACTATCATGTATTGTAGTTATAGTGTTTATGTTGGTAATCCCAATTCAAGTCTTGCTTCGCACACCCACTTCTAGCCACCGTGATCGTGAAATGAGGATACTGGTCATAAGCATTTGACCAAGTTATTGTCTATTTCTAAATCATCTTTTATCTCTGCTGTCTGCCTCCATGCCCTCCTGTGCAGATCACTGACCAAAACTTCTCAGAGTTCAGCACTATAGGAATACGTGGAATAGAAATTGGCCAGTTCCATGAGCCAATTGGTGTTGTCCTAGTGAACCACAGTGTACTGGGCCGGTGCTTTGCTGTGGCAGATAACTACAATCATCGGATTCAGGTCAGAAACGTAACCAGACAGTACACACTGTACATGTACAGTTGTATTGTGTAAAATCCCTCTCCTACCCACTAACAGTGTACTGTGGTATACATAAAGATAGAACTAGCCTATATCACTGTTCAGCATCAAGTTGTGGGACTGTTTTCAATCATGTAACAGAAGATGAAGCATATGGTGATCTCATTAGGCACAGATACATAGCTGAGCGAGGGAAACTAATCTCACACCAAAGGGGTGACTGCAAGCATAGGGCTTCTTCAAGGACGGACCAACGGTCACTTTTCGGGATCATGTGCGAGAAAATTTTTGAATCGCTGGTGAACAGGCGAAGACCAGGTCACATTCAGTTTGTGCGAGAATGGACGCGTGGAGGTGAAAGAAGCAATAGGATGGCGCTCAACTTCATGTCCAACACTCGTGTTGACTCAGAGCAGCTTCCGGGAAGCCCTTTCATGGCTTGGGCGAAACTGAACAAGCTTCAAAATCAATCCAAGCTCTGGTTGAGACAACCCTGTCACATTTCGTTTACTTTTCAATGCGCGACCTGTTCACCACAATCTCGGGGTGAGTGCCACTTACGGGCACGGCGTGGTGTCCTTGAAAAAGCACTATACTCCTTGTGACCGGTGGTTCAAGAGTTGCGGAGATTCGCCCTCAATTTATCTTTCCTGCCTCTGGATCCAGATCATTATGCATTGCCTGACCTACCTGACCCTTCTGTCAGTGAGTCAATGCAATAGGAGCGCTTTATGTGTGTGTGTGTGTGTGTGTGTGTGTGTGTGTGTGTGTGTGTGTGTATGTGGTGTGTGTATGTGTGTGTGTGTGTGTGTGTGTGTGTGTGCGTGCGAGCACACGTGTGTGTGTGCGTGAATATATACATGCTCGCACGCATTTACAACTCACTGCATCCGTTCTAGAACTACGATAGATCGACACTTGAACAGAGTGCACATATCCGCATGCGTCATAGCGCCTGTGCAACCATAGATCAACACATTAACGTACTTAACCGTACACTTCCTTGAAATGAATATTCCATAGGGGAACACATTCCTTCTATCGTGTTTTCAAACGAATATCAGTCGAATACTCGAATAATCCTTGCAACCCTAATTACGAATCTCACAGATAATTATCTTCTATGTACACTGGTACTGTACAGGTTGTGCCATGCAGTGGTGAGACAGGATATGCATTTGGAACAGAAGGTAGTGGTCAAGGCCAATTTCAATACCCAAGAGGCATCACAGTGTACCACAACAGGTTGTTAATTGCAGACGAGAACAACCATTGTATACAGGTATGTTAGCATGTTCAGCTGGCACCCACATCAACAACGATACCAAAGACGACGACGACCGCAACGACGACGACAACAACAACAACAACAACAACAACAACAACAACAACAACAACAACAACCAAAACAGAAGCAGCAGCAACTTCATTGTCCTATCGTTGTGTCAGGAATTATTCTAAAGTCGGTGGATGCTCCGAATGGTTGGAAATGGCATTTGCAGCTAATTGACGACACGGGTCTGACTCATGGCTGTAGTCTGAAACACATGAGCAACACGTCAAACTTCGCACTCACAAATCTGCAAGAAAAACACCACTCTCTGCTCAATATGCATTGCTGCGCTAAATTCACCCTGTTTCAGTTGAGCTTCAGAAGGATACTGGAATCTGACGGGATGTGTTAATTGGGTGGATGCATGCAAACTTGACTTGTTCTAGAAATTATAGACGTACTTTGGGAATTCTTCTGTTTCTGAGACTTTACTGCTATTGATAATCCATCTACCAGGCTAAGCACTAGACAGGTTCAGGCAAGAAAACATTCATTCAATCAGAAATGAATGTGTACGTCATGCAAATGCTTGTTGGCCATGTTTGCCTGTTACTTGTCCTTTTCAGTGTAAGAGTGTATAGGCTGATGTGAAGTTAGACTCTTAAACATCATGTCTATACATCATGTCACAAACCAAACAGTGTCTGTGCTACAATAAATACATACATAGTAATATGTTGGGTTAGCTTTTGGGCTAACCCTAGTTAGCGATAAGACCGATGCGCTGCTCTCTATCTCATGCTAGCTGCGATCGAGCTGGCTTTACACGTGCACTCAACTGCTGCGCATGCGCGCCTAAATCGCCTTGGGTAGCTCTTGCTGCGCTGACTTTGGCCTGCGCTTTCCTTTGCAGTGTCACTGAGCAGCAACCGGAATTTGTTTGTTGAGAAAAGAATTAATTATTCAGACTCCTTGTAGATTCCTCGCAGCCGTTTACTGCACGACAAACATGTTGTATACCTCTGAAGCACGCCGTATGAACGTGTCGGACTTGCGGGCCGAGCTGGAAGGCCGTGGGCTGAATTCGAGCGGAACAAAGCCCCAGCTTCTTGCCCGTTTGCTGCTCAGTATCCAGGACACGTCGAGCTCGGCGGCACGGGAACCTCGATCTCCGTCGGCCACGCCATCCTCGCGGCAGGAGCACGAGCAGGAGCAAGAGCAGGATCTGGAGAGCGCTGCAGCAGCTTCTCCGACTCCCCAGATCCCGGACCGGAGCAGTAATGACGATTTGCGCCAGTTTGTGCGGCAGGAAGTACATTCCGCCGTCACCGTTGCCTTGTCGGAGGCGATCGCTCCAATGCTGGCCACCATCACTGCCCCTGGATCCGCTGGAACTCAACCTTCGGCGGAGTCTTCCAACGCTGGTAATCTCTCCGTTCCCCAGACTATACGAGAGAAAATATTGAAGGGTGACTTTGTAGATTTCACCCAGCTGCTGCCCGATACTATCGCCACCTCGTATTCTGCCCCACGCCAGCTTCAGCTGCAGTTCAGCAGTGGCGGCCAGTCTCTGGAGGTGGTGGAAGGTGGAGCGGCGCAGCCCGTTCGTCGACGCGTCCACGACTTGCCGACATGGCTGGAGGCATGGACTCTCTTCATGAACGTCGTGTGTTCTGCCAACCCGTCCCGCCTGCAGGAGATGCTCTCCTACCAAGCCACCATAGTTGCAGCCAACAGGCAATACTATCCGGAGGCTTGGCTGTCGTACGACACCCAGTTTCGCTCTGCCATTTCTGCTCAACCAGGCAAGCGCTTTGACGTCATCGACATAAATCTGTGGCAAATGTCCGTGACTAGCCGATCAAGGCCCACATGTGAGTCCTGCCGCCTCATCCATCCCGGAGGCGGCCAGTGTCCCTTTCGTCCGCAACGTAACAACCAGCAAGCCTTCAATGGAGTCCGTACGGTGTCTAATGGCCAACCGATCTGCCGGAACTTCAACGCTGGGCGTTGCAGTCTCAGCACGTGCAAGTACGCCCATGTCTGCAACCGCTGCGGGTCCAAGGACCACAACGGATCTAAGTGCGGTAGGCGCCAGTAACTCTGCTGCTTTGGCTGCAGCTCCCGCGATTGTACATATTTCTCCCTGCACTTCACGTTCTACTGATTTCACAAGCGCATGTCCTGCTGTCCACACACCCCTCTCTGTTTCTCGCTTCGAATCACTGCTCCGTAACCACCCTGACAGTTCATTGGCTTCGTATGTTATTAAAGGGGCACTCCGGCTTCATTTTCGACGCCGAGTTTTCGATGCCAAGACGAAGGTAGGTGAAAGAGAAGACCCCTCGAACAAGAACCAGTCTCCAGAAGCGATCGAGTCGAGCAGGAAGACGACTTTTTGAATTTCGCCGAGCGAGCGCTGATGACGTAATGAGGGATTAGCTTGCCAGTGGAAATGCACCTGCGCACATACATTTTACACACTTTTTGGCCAATTTTCAATCGAAGAGGAGGTTGTTTGCTATGTTTTCCCAACGTCGTGAGCGATCCCGTCTTCTATACCCTTCCAGGTACCCTGAAGGTCCTCCAGACGAGAATTTATCTCCAGCAAAGCGTTGTTGATCCGCTAAATTCGTCTCGAGACATATTCAGTGCTGATGAATGTAGAATGTTGAATCTGTGATAATTGTCGACGATGGAGAGAGAGAGGCTGATAGCCGCTATCGCAGGGAGAGTGAAGCTGCTGGAAGTAACTAAGGGGAGCCCGTTTGTATCATCTGAACAACCAGACTTCAAAACAGCTTGACCAAATCGGAGGGTGCCTCGTTGCTTATCGTGAATATTACACCGACATGAATTACTACAAGTATACTGGTGAGTTTTTATCTTGTTTTGTTCGTATGCTAGTACTCTGGCCTGGAGTTCTCGTTAGCACATTCCTATTCCCTGGCGGTTTCTAAACATTCCGTTTAGTACTGAATACGTGATCAAGTATTCCGATTTGGGTAGATGTGGAATTTGGACATGTATTTTATAAAAAAATTCTATCATAAGTTGCCAAATAGAGAAATGTAGAGAAATGGTTGCCCAAATACAACAAAATTGATTCTGCAGTTCTACAACTTGTACTGAAATCCAGTCAAAGTAAAAATGATTCTTCATGACAGTTGGGGTCAATGAAATCTGATCCAGGCATAACGAATGGTGACGCCTGCCACCCCGGGAACGAATGCCCATTTGGTGGGGGATACCAAAGTACTCGAAAGTGGTGCGTGTTTCAATGTGGCATTTTGGAAGTTTTATATGATCTCTGGTCAATGCAACATACGATAGCCATCATGAATTCCATGCCTCGAACGCAACTCAGACCAGAATCGGCAGTTCCCTAAGTTAGATGCTTTATAATTCCATGGCCCCAGCCTTAGTTATACCGTAAAATCCCGCCAGAGCGCCCCTACCTCCTCAACGCTTCAGGTGGGGAGGGGCGGATGGGCGAGTCCTACTTGCCGCATTCAGTGCCACATGAAAAAGTACTCACCCTACGAAAACTGTTCGTGCATCTCGTACACCGACCAAAGGTCAAGAGCCAGGAGTAGAACAGATCCGAAAAACGCAGGGTTTGTGCGATCCCTGGTCAGGAGGGTGGGCACTGTTGCGTACATTTCCAACGGGGTCGAGCACACGTCTACAGTGCAGTACAGCATCACAGACTGCGACAGAGTCATACGAGGATACAATCAATCACGTCCCTGACAAGAAGTCAGGGAGGGGCGGATGGGAGAGACGGGGCGCTCTGGCGGGATTTTACGGTCGAGGTTTTTCTTGCACATTATTCTTATAGTCGATAGGTTTATACTGATGGCCACAAACAACGGCAGTTCAAACTTCACTGATGTGTTCATGAGCTGAGAGATTTCTCTCCACTATTTCTGTTGTGCACACAGGTCTGTCCAATATGCATTGACCGTATTGGGTATGGTATCTGCTCTGAGAAGGGAATCGCTGGAGCCACAGTCCAACTATCCAGGCTTTCAAGAAACAGAGAGAAGCCATCTTTGCAAGCTGATACCTGATGTGTACCGACAGAATTCTCACGAGATACCTTTCGGACTACGTCTGGTGTACACTTCATAGTACTCCTTCGACTACGGTCTAGAATCAAGTCGACTGAAACAAGTTCAAACAACTCTGGCTTCAAACGAGCCGTCGATTAGACAAACAAAACATTCTCTCATATACTAGAGCACTCTGACAACTCATGACCTATTCCTAACGATTGCCACCGCTTATAAATATGTAGAGTGCTGATTGGAATGTGCTCACAATCTCAACAGTGCTATAATTATGTTAACAATGTGTTATAATATTCCACTTTTCCTTCCATAAATGTTGTATCCACATATAATCCACAGTGCTGCAAAGTTTCAGAGTTCTCAGGGTATCAAACAAAATTATTTCAAATACAGTTAAATTGTTCGTGGACATTATAGCGGAACTTGTAGTCCCCTGGTCCTTTTCTTTGCTATAAATTAATCCTTTGCTCTCTATATGTTGTAGCCGCCGGCGAGTCCAACAGTGAAATTGTTAGTTCATATTTATAATGTGGGAGGGGGAGGGGGGGGTTGAACATATTTCTATATATATAAAGGGACCTGCAACTGTAATACCACAGTACAGAAGCCAGCAAATATGTAGAAAACAGAAATGCATGTTACCATCATTGTACATGGACGGGCGCAGCAGGCCGAAGCTATCAGCCAGAACAGGATTTACAATCACCTAGAGATACTTGAGCTATTCCAGTATTCTCCGTGAACTGTCCCATTCCACAATGGTTCATGCCACCATTATTTCTGGTAGTATCCATGTGCATAATTCCAAGACCATCTCGGATTCTTCAGCAATTTGTGCCACGGCAAAAGACAACGCTTGACTCGGTCACTGGGGCTGTCAAACTTCCCATCACAAATGAACTTCAATTTCTCATCTGTTTCAAGTATGTGTACTGCCATGACTTGACCATGCTTCATCCACAGCTGGGCGAAGATTGTGGCGTTGAATTCCATAGCGCACCTTCTTGCTGCCATGCAGGAGTATGTTGAGAGAAGTGAACATATTTTTACTAAAAAACAACAGCCACTGAAGAGGATAGCAATAGCCTTGGGTGAATTTCCTGCAGGTACACGTTGTTGGTAGGTCTACTGGTCCGTCTCCATATCGTCAAGTTCAGAAATCACCTGTACTACACTACACATCTTGTAGAAGGGATCCTGATCGAATAATTTCTGGTCATAAAATTCACTAAACTGAGGGCGAGACAAATAGTCAGTACTCCCCGATTCCGTCAAGCTGCTTTGAAGTCTGGATGCTCATGTGATGCTAACAAACTCCCCGTTGTTACTTCCAGCAGCTTCACTTTCCCTGCGACAGCGGCTATCAACCTCTCTCTCCATCGTCGAGAATTATCACAGATTCAACATTCTACATTTATCAGCACTGCACTGGGTGAATATGTCTCAAGACGAATTTAGCGGATCAACAACGCTTTGCTGGAGATACATTCTCCTCTGGAGGACCTTCAGGGTACCTGGAAGGATATAGAAGACGGGATCGCTCACGACGTTGAGAGAACATAGAAAAC